GAGGAGGAGGAGGAGGAGGAGGGGAAGGGGGAGGGGGAGGAGAAGGACGAGCAGATGGAACAGAGGAAGGGGGAGGGGGAGGGGAAGGAGAAGAAGCGGCAGCAAGGGGAGGAGAGGGTGGAAGAGGATGATGCATGGACCAACGAAGCATGCGACGAAACCATTGTGTAAGTCTCGTCACATGTGTAGGCTGCACAAACGGCGGGCAAGCAAAGCTGCTGCCGTTTTAAAATCATGCCAATTGTCACAAATCTGCTCAAACCGCGTAAGCTGGCCAGTGAACACACCTGCAGGCTGATGAGATGGAATGTTTGACGTTGCACTAGGGTATCGTATAACAGGGAAAACCCATGCAACAGTCTTATCATACACACTCAATCGGAGGGATCCATCTGTGCGTGTCTGCAGCTTCGCACCTAAGAAAGTGCAAGAACCATCAGGATCTGTTGTCTCCTTCCATTCCAGACCATAACAGGCTGGCAATGGCGGGAGGCAACCGGAAGTGAGGACATCAATCAAACGATAAGTGAAAGCATATTGTCGAGCAGCAGAAGGATCCACACGTTGCAGGTTGTCCACATACTGTGCCTCATCCCAATAAAGTGTAAGATTAGCAATCTCAGGACCAGCATTTGTTCCCACAGGGATACCGACGTCTTGATGACGCACAAGGCCATCCGCTGTATATAGATATGTATTAGTAACAATAAAACGAAGATGTTGAAGAATGTCCGACACAGAAAGAGTGTCAGGTCCCGTATCGGTTGTCCATTCCCCTGCACGCGGTCAACGGACCACCATACGAAGAGCAACACAGGATGAACGTGTCCGTGCATGCTGCTGTGCCTGTGCAAGAGCCTAGGCATGTGCCTCGTCAACGGCGTTAGCAACATTGTTAAGAATGCGTTGATGAGAAAGATTAGCATACATGGTAGTAAAATCGACTGTATGAGGGACCAGACCTCGAAGAGATGCTTTATTCTTTTTTAGGTCAAGCATGACCGGGTAAGTGGTCCCGGGCCACTCTGGCAGCCTAGTCCAGAACACCGCTGAGGGCAAAGTTAACCAAACACCAAGGTCTACACTGAGGACTGTCTCTGCGACATTAGGAGCCAGACGCTAAAACACAAGGGAAAATAGCTTTATAAAGTAGTAAGTTTACCCAGCCTGAACTTTTGCATGGCCAGGTGGACGAACCACCTTGGGCGCATGCTGTGAAACTGATTCTTCTCAGTTGTGTTCTTCTTGGTCGCTTCATGTGGTGGGATCAACATTGTTGGAAGTCATCATTTACTGTCTGGTGCTGGGAATCATCACTAACAACCTCGTCAGCCAAACTGTCATCATTTACTGTCTGGTGCTGGGAGTCATCACTAACAACCTCGTCAGCCAAACTGAAGTCATGCAACCATGTCGTAGAAACACAAAGTTCAAAGATGCTATTTAAATTTAAATGTTGGAATTGCCAAACCGGCCATTGAACATCTGGCCCTCGCACATCCACTTGGGCATTTTTCAGATTCTGGACCGACTCCAGAGACGTCCTAAGACTTCCACTGGGTGGATGAGATACTGCAAGCGTGCAGAGTTGGGATGGATGTCACCAACCGCGTAGCTCCACTTATGCACACCGCATCATAGGGGCAGTTAAATGTCACCAACCGCGTAGCTCCACTTATGCACGCCGCATCATCGGGGAAGTTGCCAAGACATCCCGTCGTTATGCCCAAGATAGCCATTCTCATTCCACACAAAAGTCGGACAGACGCATGGCCAGATTGATCCACGCACCAACACGAAGCTACATTTTAGCAGCCAGATTGGACTTTCTTGTTTTTTGTACACTGGCAGGCATCCAGCTCAACAAGTTCACGCCCACTCCCATTCATGATCGTTCACATCGTACTGTTTATGTAGCAAAGCAAGAGATTTTCAACGTTACAAATCACGACGTCCTCCCTGATTATTATGCAATTCAACATATCTCAAGGTAAAACAAAATGCTACGAAGTTGCCGGTCTGCACAGAGTATGAAACCCTCACTTGTTCAGCTCCTCCTCGCAATACTATGGTCGCAGTCTTCACTCCCGGGCAACCCTTGAAAACGTTGTACCGCTCATTCCCCACCTGGCGCTCTTCAAACACCTGACAGGTCCCAATAACCTAAAACCCACCAACGCAAACCACCACGCCCAACCATTACTGAAAAGATCAGCGAAGCCCTGGCACAACTCTCCCGACTCAGCACAGACTCACAAGAACCCTGATCCTACCAAACGCGCAGAAATTCATATCATGTGCACTCAGCGTACACAAGTGGCGAATGCAGACAGAAATCGTTGCAAGACCGTCCAGTTGATTCATGGACACAGAAAAGCCGAACAGAGTAAAAGAACGAATGGGCAAGTTTGAGCGTCTCGCCCGCACATGAGACCACCCCACTCCTTCAAAAGTCACAAATTAACACGCTGCACAATCCCAGACTGGGGAGCACAGAATTCCGAGCACCCCACCTGTGCCGATTTTTTTTATTTCTATGACGAAAAACAGGGAGGTAGGATACGCTCTGCCATACCATGGAAAATAGATTCTTGAGCAAACACGAGTATGCCCACGACAAAGTACTTGTGCCAAACCGATTGCACACGTCAACCAGAGTCACTACGACCTGGGCAGGCCTGAAGTAGCAAGTTGGGCAGGCCAAGGCCAGTACTTTTCTGAGTTACATCGAAATAGATTCCACCCTGCAGCAGATCGTGCAAGTTCTGGAAGTGTGTGCTGTTCATCTTCCGTACTTCCGTTTCAAGGTGGGAAGTACCATACACCTACCTACCTGCAAAACGTGGACTTGTATTCTCCTGCATGACAGGGCTGACGCATGCGAGTGTGCGCTGCAACAGCATAGTAGAGGAGGATAAATAGGTACGTTAACAGCCCCTCCTTGTTGTCATCATGCGTTTCTTTCGTTTCCTCAGGTCTGTGTACCCAAGTGTATGTGTCAGAGAGAAGGAGGGAGAACCAGCCCATCGTACAGGCTAATGCTTCACATCATTAAACATCGACAGAAAAAAAAGAGGTCACCAAACGGAAAACAGAATTCTGCAGAAACGAAATCCAGGTCCACAGTAAATAAAATAGACCGCAAGTCGTCCTTCGGGACATCCGTTAAACTTGGAACAATACAGAGAAGATTAGCATGGCCTCTGCGCAAGGATGACACGCTTAAATCGAGAAATGGTCCAAATTGAAAGGGAAAAAAAAATGGACCCCAAGTCTTCACGACAAGAACAGTGGCCCAACAGAGGCACGCTCTGAAAGAACACTGGTAAATAATACAAGATTACCTGTTGAAGCTTCGGCCTCAAACGACCAAGGATTTATTTTGAACACAGGCAGACCTGGCGACACCTCTGGACCGCAAGTCTTTCACATAAGAGCAGTGACCCGGACCAGAGGCACACTTCCAAAAGAACACAGGTAAGTAAAACTAGATTACCCGTTGCAGCTTCGCCCACAAACGAAAAGGATGTTATGTAAACAAAAGCAGACCTGACCGCCCCTCGTTTGTCCGTCTCCTCCACCACCAAGAAGTCTCCCAACCTCCTCAGGCAACTCCTCCACATCCTCCTTACGCTCTTCCTTCCCCATCCTCTACACCCGCAAAAGTTTTCATCTTAAACTTCGAAAGAACCATCCACCAAAATGTGGCCAGGCACACCCAAGTACCAGTTGATAAACAGACCATAGTCCGAATCCGCTACTCCTCTCCCGTTCTCTCTCTCTCTCTCTCTCTCTCTCTCTCTCTCTCTCTGTGTGTGTGTGTGTGTGTGTGTGTACGTGTTGTCATATTCGCTATACACTCGAAAACAGCATGACCGTATGTGTGGCCACACCCACGTACCAGTTGATAAACAGACCTGAGTCCGAATCCCCTCTTAC